ATAAACTGTCTCTGAATATGCACGATTCGATGCCTTACATACTGTACTGTTGGAAGAAAATCGGACTCTGGTAAAACCATTGCCCAAACACGTGTCAACCAGCCTCCCGCCGAAAAAGACCAAGTAGAGCAGCCTAGACTCACGGATGCCCCCCACCCCCTCCTCAAATCCATTATGATCAACCTCGGGCGCGCGCGCTTTTCCCTCCCAGGGCCAGAAAGGGGCGGGGCTTGCGTGACGGGCGGCAGCTGAGAAGAGGCGCGCGCCTTCGCCCCTCCCCCTTCGCGCTCCCTGATTGGCCGGGGCAGAATGCGCGGCAGTTAACGGTCGCTCGCTCTCGGCTTTGGCCCCGCCCACTCCTCCCCCTCTTTTTTCCCCCCAATTTAAAGTCTCGACAACCGTTGGAAAAGGTTCTTCGCGCGCACGCGCTTCTTTTTCCACCCCTCCCTCCCATTTCTGACAAGACAACCGTTAATCGCCATGAAGGAGAACGAAACGAGGGCAATAAGAAAAGAGAGAGAGAGAAAATGGCCGCTGACCTGATTGGCACCCCCGCAAACAACACCATCCCATTTCCCTCCCTTTTATTAATCAATCCAAATCCCCTTTTGACACCTACCTTTCTCTTGGGCATGTCGACGGCGCGTGACAGGAAAAAAAAGGACAGAAAGAGAGAAAATGAAGCAACCGAAAAAAGGTCTCTCAACGAGGCGGGAAACGACGGCAAGGCCAAAGGGACAAAAAAAATATGCCTTCGCTTGCTTCCTTCGTGCCGTGCCGCTCGCGACCCCACTAATTTGAATCGGGGTGTTTATAAAGTTTTATATACCGAGAGCCGGACGCGGCCCCAACCGGTTCCAGCCGGATCCCCCACCGCCCCAGACGCGGATTGGGCGAGGCGCGTCACGTGGGCGGGGCCTCGCCGAAGGGGCGGCGCGGGCGAGGAGTGGAGCAGCCAGTCGGCGCCTGGCCTTGTAGAGACGAGGTTTGGCTTGTTGCTCCCCACAAAATGAGGCGACTTAAACAACATAACAATGTGCAAATAGGACAGAACAACACTTTGGTACTCTGGGGTAAAGAGTGGAAGATTCTAGATATGGATATATACGAAAGGACGAGGAATATAAATCACCTCAGAGTCCATAAACGTTTCTTCCCGCCCTGCGGCTTGGGAGAAATGATGCGCTTTCTTCCCCTTGGACAGGTACGCCAAAGGCGTACCTGTCCAAGGGGAAAGCGCCTCCATTTCTCCCCAAGCCGCAGGGCGGGAAGAAACGTCTCTTATTTAAAACCTTTTCCCCTTCCTTTCCTGAGGTAATCCAAACCACACAAAATGAAACCAAAGCTGTGCAAAAACATAATGGCCTCTCCTTTCCCTCAGAGGAAGGTGCGGTCGTTGCTTCATCGACGACGACTGGAAAAGCAACCCAGAGCGCCCCCTTCCTTCCCAACGAGAAGGGTCTTCTCTTCTCTTAAGACATTTTAAATCGATGATAATAATAGAAAAGAGCAGGGAAGGGAGGGAAAAAGTCACAGAAATGAGGGTAAAGGGGGTTGTGTTTTTGCTGTCCATTTCAGCACCACTTTGGGTTTGTTTTTTCTTATCCCCCCAATCCCAAAGCCAAGGAAAACGAATTAGGCTTTCGAATAGAGACGTGGAGTCGAAATGAGGACAATACGGTGGCAAGAGATGCGGAGTCTAAATCCCATAAAATGTATTTTATGTACTGGTCCAACGGGCGGCGGCCAGGGTGTTAACTGGCACTCCTTACAGAGAGAGGTCAACCCTCCTGCTTAAGGAGCTCCATTGACTGCCGTTTACCTACCGAACCCAATTCAAGGTGCAGGTGCTTACCTACAAAGCCCTAAACGGTTTGGGACCTGCCTACCTGCGTGACCGCATCTCCGTTTATGAACCCACGCGCTCCCTTCGTTCATCCGGAGAGGCCCTGCTCGCGATCCCACCTGCGTCGCAGGCGCGTTTGGTGGGGACGAGGGACAGGGCCTTCTCTGTGGTTGCCCCCCGACTTTGGAACACCCTCCCCAAAGACATTAGACTAGCACCCACGTTGGCAGTCTTTAGGAAGAACTTGAAGACCTGGCTATTCCAATGTGCCTTTCCAGAATAGGACAACCCCCAGCACTATGTCCCCAGAAGCACCTTATTTGAGTTTAAGACTCTCTGCACATTGCACTTGCCCAGAATTCCAACATACCATCTGTCACACCCAGCACTTTTTAACCTCTACCCATCAATGGACCAGCCCTGGTTTTATTGCGCAATAGTGTAATGTTTTGTTATTGCTTATGTTTTTAATTTGCTTTGTATCGTGTTGTTATTGTTTGCTGTTGTTGTGTTGAGGCCTTGGCCTTTGTAAGCCGCATCGAGTCCTTCGGGAGATGCTAGCGGGGTACAAATAAAGTTTAATAATAATAAAAAATAATATTTATCGTGTCAGAAGCGAGTTGACTCCTTCAAAGGATTGCTGCCTTGTGGTGCTGGACCTCAAGCATCTCAGTGACGCCACAACTGAAGCTGTGAAGGGACACCAAGACAAGAATCATAGCAAAGAGTTGGAAGAGACCTCATGGGCCATCCAGTCCAACCCTTTGCCAAGAAGCAGGAATATTGCATTCAAATCACCCCTGACAGATGGCCATCCAGCCTCTGCTTAAAAGCTTCCAAAGAAGGAGCCTCCACCACACTCCGGGGCAGAGAGTTCCACTGCTGAACGGCTCTCACAGTCAGGAAGTTCTTCCTCATGTTCAGATGGAATCTCCTCTCTTGTAGTTTGAAGCAATTGTTTCGTGTCCTAGTCTCCAGGGAAGCAGAAAACAAGCTTGCTCCCTCCTCCCTGTGGCTTCCTCTCACATATTTATACATGGCTATCATATCTCCTCTCAGCCTTCTCTTCTTCAGGCGAAACATGCCCAGGTCCTTAAGCCGCTCCTTGTTCTCCAGGGCTTGTTCTCCAAACCCTGAGATCTAGAGAAGGTCATGCAGAGAAGTCAGACTAAATATGATCCCCGGGGAAGATAATGGCAACCCACCCCAGTATTCTTGCCAGGAAAATTAAACTGATCAGTACAAAATAATTAAGAGTAGAGACATCAAAGTGGCAATGAAGATCCGCATAGCAAGTGGTTGTTCATTCGTTCAGTCGTTTCCGACTCTTCTGGTTCAAGATTGAGAAAGGCGTATGGCAGGGTTGTATACTCTCACCCAACCTATTCAACTTGTATACAGAACACATCATGCGATGTGTGGGGCTTGACAAATGCACGGCTGGGGTGAAAATTGCTGGAAGGAACATTAACAACCTTAGATATGCAGATGACACTACTTTGATGGCTGAAAGTGTGGAGGAGCTGAGGAGCCTTCTAATCAAAGTGAAAGAAGAAAGCGCAAAAGCTGGGTTGCAGTTAAACATAAAAAAGCCCAGCAAGATCATGGCAACAAGACTGACTGATAACTGGGAAATAGAGGGAGAAAACATGGAGGCAGTGACAGACTTTGTATTTCTAGGTGGAAAGATTACTGCAGACGCAGACTGCAGCCAGGAAATCAGGAGACACTTATTTCTGACTGATAACTGGGAAATAGAGGGAGAAAACGTGGAGGCCGTGACAGATTTTGTATTTCTAGGTGCAAAGATTACTGCAGCGAAGGAAGATAGATGCTTTTGAACTGTGGTGCTGGAGGAAAGTTCTGAGAGTGCCTTGGACAGCGAGAAGATCCAACCAGTCCATATTTCAAGAAATAAAGCCGCATAGCATGCAATCATCTAAAACGGGTCCTCAAACTAAGGCCCGAGGGCCAGATACTGCCCTCTAAGGTCATTTACCTCGCTCAGGGTCAACCTAAGTCTGAAATGACTTGAAAGCACACAATAACAACAACAATCCTATCTCACCAGCCAAAAGCAGGCCTACACTTCCCATTGAAATACTAAGTTTACATTTTTTTAAAATGTTTGTCATTTTAATTACTGTATTGTTTTTAGGTGTTTTTACACTACAAATAAAATATGTGCAGTGTGCATAGGAATTTATTTATGTTTTTTTCAAATTATAATCCAGCCCTCCAACAGTTTGAGGGACCGTGACCTGGCCCTCTGTTTAAAAAGTTTGAGAAACCCTGATCTAAAACAACAGAACAGTGTACAAAAAGGTCCGAACAACACTTTGAGACTGTGGGATAAAGAGTAGAAGACAATGTGTGCATATATATATTATACTGAAGGATATAAATCATCTCAAAGAGTCCATAAACATTTCTTCTTGGGACCCAACAAAGAAACCTCAGTCTTATGCGAAGCAAGCAAGCAATCCTATATTTTTAGCACAAGATTTTCAGCGAGAGCTGTGTCACATTTAGCACCATGTACAGATGTGCCTCCATCTCTCATTGCACCCAGTTTGTGGGTAAAACCGAATTACCGTGTTGCATAAACGATGCATGTAGAAAAAATGTTTGGGAAGCTCTAAAATAATGTGGCAAAAGATAACTATTTCTAGATGGAAGACTGCTGCTAGGATATCAGAAGGTGTTTCCTTCTTGGGAGGAGAGCAATGACCAATCTCAATAAAAGAGTTAAGAGTAGATACATCACACTGACAATGAAAGTCTACATAGTTAAAGCAGTGGTATGTGAGAGCTGGACCGTAAGGAAGACTGAGCGAAGGAAGATAGATGCTTTTGAACTGTGATGTTGAAGGAAAATTCTGAGAGTGCCTTGGACCGCAAGAATATTGAACTAGTCCATACTCCAGGAAATAAAACCCAATTGCTCAGTGGAGGGAAGGATATTAGGGGCAAAGATGAAGTACTTTAGCCACATAATAAGATAGAAAAGCTTGGAGAAGATAATGTTGCTGGGGGAAATGGAAGGAAAATGGAAGAGGGGCCGACCAAGGGCAAGGTGGATGGATCTTGAAGTGACTGACTCAGCCTTGAAGAAGCTGGGGATGGCCATGGCCCATGGGAAGCTCTGGCCTGGGCTGGTCCATGAAATCATGAAGAGTTGGAAGTGACTGAACGAATAAACAAACAAAAAGGGAGGCAACAGAGCAGAGCTTTCAAACCTTTCATACTGGTGACATGCTTTTTCAACATATGTCATTTTGCAACATGGTCATTCAGTTTACAAGTAAAACGGAGGTTGAACCGACCCCCTATAAGAGATACAGGCCCATAAACTGTAATGACTAAATGTAGGGGATATTTATTTATCGTGTCAGAAGTTAATTGAGAAGACAGTTATAATGTATAAAAAACCACAAAGTTAAAAACTTGGCATTATACTAAATGTAGGGGATATGACATACTCTAAAGTAAAATAAAGGCGTGTTTGCTATGCGCCTCCTTATATACATAAGCGTGAAGGCCGTTCTATACAATATTTTGAATAATTTTGCATGTGACACAAAGTTCATGCTGGAGAGTTTTAATTGTGAATTTTAAACTCCACTTTTGCTAATACAGACAGCCAGTTCTCTCACCAGAAGCAACTTGCAGTTTCTCAAGTCGCCCCTGACACCAAAAAATCCAAACCTTTGATCAGCAATGAAAAATAATTGCTGCTATAAATAAAAACCAACTGTTTATTGTGACTCTACCATGGAGTTTTCTTGCATTATTTCTTCAGGGGATTTTTCTTGCTTTCCTCTGAGGCTGAAGATGTGAGCCAGTTGCCCAAAATCACCCATGGGTTCCTATGGCTGAGTGGATTTTGACCTGTGGATTCAGTCCCTGGTCGCCCCCATCTTGGACCCCACCTACATCAACCATTTAATGCAGTTTCAAACCTGTATTGAAGAAAGTGGTTTCGCTGTGCTGATGGTGACATAGGAAATCCTGGAACCTCTTTGAGGACCGGATGATGATTACACAAACCA